GTACTTCGTGCATTACAAGACCCGTTAAAATATAGTTCTCTTCACGGTATTGTCATTAGGGTCTTTAGGACCTTTAAGGGTTTGTAAAAGTTTTAAGGGCTTTGAAGGGCTTCAAGGGCTTTAAGGGTTTTAGGGGTTCAAGGGTTTTAAGGGTTTTAAGGGCTTTAAGGGGTTGTAAGGGCTTTAAGGGTTTTAAGGGCTTTAAGGGTTTTCAGGGGTTTAAGGGATTTACGGGGTTTAAGGTTTAGGATCTAGGGTTAAGGGTTTAGGGTTCATCTTGGACATGGCAGGAGAAGTGGAAGCCGCAACAAAGGTTCTGGGGTTGGGGGGTTGAAGGGTGTTAAGGGGTTTTAGGGTTTGGGGGGTTTTAGGGGTTTGAAGGGGTTTAAGGACTGTGTTCTAGGGGTTTGAAAGGTTTGGCGGGGGGGGGGGGATTTGGGGCTTGGGGAGGTTTGGGGGAGGTTTGAATGGGCAAGACCCACAGCTGTCTGCCCCCCCCTCCCTAAACCCGAAACCCGAAACCCTAAACCCTAAACCCTAAACCGCAGCTTCGGAATCTGCCGCCCCTAGGAAGTCCCAGGGGCAGAAACATCGCGCCGATGTCGTAGGGCTCTTGTGGGGCCTGAGCCGTGTGCAGCTGTAGGGTTTAGGGGCGCAGAGAAGTCTTAGGGTGGAGGGATTGGGGTTTAGGGTTTAGGGTTGAGGGTTGAGGGTTGAGTGTTGAGGGTTGAGGGTTGAGGGTTGAGGGTTGAGGGTTGAGGGTTTGGGGGGTTGAGGCTTTTTGAGGGGTTTGCGGGTTTAGTGCTCAGGGCGTGAAAGGACTTTAGCCTTGGGGGGGGTTCGTGTCAGAAGGCCCTTCGGGTTGACCTACGAACAGGGTTTAGGGTTTAGGGTTTAGGGTTTAGGGTTTAGGGTTTAGGGTTTAGGGTTTAGGGTTTAGGGTTTAGGGTTTAGGGTTTAGGGTTTAGGGTTTAGGGGTTTAGGGGTTTAGGGGTTTAGGGGTTTAGGGTGTAGGGGTGCGGGCAAGGCTATGCAGCCTATGTTTACACATCTCGAACCCCATAGCTTCGCGCGCTTCTTCTTCATGGAACCAACAAAAGTTGAAACCGTTCCACTACTGCCAAGGGGTGTATTCAGCGCCCCTAAGTTCGCCTTCATGAGTTTTCCATTGAACCCTGAACCCTGAACCCTGAACCCTGAGCCCTAAACCCTAAACCCTGAACCTGCAGAAGCTAGAGCCTGGACGAAACCCAGGCCCTGTAAGCAGAACCCCAAGCCATTCTCAGCCCAAACCCAGTCTAAACCTCGAAAAACAAGAACCCCTGAACCCTTTGACTCAATAGCAGCATACTACAACCCTACAACCATATGGCCTTATGACCCGAAGCCCTAACCCACAATATATCAAGAGGTTCTAAATGAAGTGTGTTTATGACCCAGAAGCCCTAAACCACTATAGGACCGGCTAAAGGTATAGGGTTTAGGGTTTAGGGTTTAGGGTTTAGGGTTTAGGGTTTAGGGGTTTAGGGTTTAGGGTTTAGGGTTTAGGGTTTAGGGTTTAGGGTTTAGGGTTTAGGGCTCCGGGGTTTTTTGCACTCTTGTGGCCCCCCGGCCTCGTCTCCGGAGGCTGCCGGGCTGGCCAGGCGGCGCTTCGAGCGCCGGCCGCCTCGCGCGGAGTGGGTTCCGGGGAGGTGGGAGCCCACCTGAAGCAGCCCTAAACCCTAAACCCTAAACCCTAAACCCTAAACCCTATAAACCCTGTAAACCCTAAACCCTAAACCCTAAACCCTAAACCCTAAACCCCAAACCCCAAACCCTATAACCCTATAACCCTATAACCCTACACCCTAAACCCTAAACCCTAAATCCTAAACCCTAAACGTGCTTCTAAAGTCGAAGCACACTGCAGTTTTGGAAAGCCGGAAGCGAAGAGCAACACAACATGGCTACCCGCCGCTGACTCGACGGAAAAGCACGCGCAAGCAAGGCCAGCCTTGGGGACCAAATGAACCCAATTTAGGGTTTCGGGTTTCGGGTTTAGGGTTTAGGGTTTAGGGTTTAGGGTTTATTAGGGTTTAGGGGGTCATATACCCTAGACTACTATAATTCCTACTAAGGTATATCCATAAACCCTTTTAGGGTTCGCCTCGTTCAAAAGGACGCGGTTTGGGACGTAGGGCCAAAGGTATCAGGATAGCGGAGGCGCGCGCCTCTCATCGACCTCCTTGTCAGCGAAGTACACGTGAGCATTTGCAGTCCGGAAACCAGGCGTAAAGTTGGACTGAATGATCTTGAAGGACGAAGGTGCGATGGAAGAGGCGCTTTGGTGTCTCCTCCCAGCACAAGACCGGCCTTCCTTCCCAGGTGGCATCGTGCTCGGACATTTCTGCACGCGGCATTGGCGAGAGCCATGCATCGCAGATTGCTGCATCAGAGACGCCGCTCATGCTCTCCCTTGATGTCGTGCACGAATGCAAGTGGGGTAACCCCCAATGCCGTAGAACTCTGCCAGTGGGTGCGCTTTTATCCACCTTCAACTCGAACTCTGCCCTTGTTGTCATGCTTGATGATCGTCAACAGCATGCCCACAAAACCGAGACCCTGAACCCGAAATCACTGGCTATCAACGCCTGACTCCTAGAGCCCTAGAGCCCTCGTCTCCGAACCCCAATACGCTCGAAGACCAAAGCGAACATCGCACAAGCGCCAGAGAGCAAGAACTTTAACTCTAAAATTGAGGTCACATACCCTATTCTACTATCCGCGTAAGGTAATATGAACTATCAACCCTGTTTGGGGCCCTACGGAATCCCAATGCACAATGCCTCAATGCACCCTGAGACACTGCACCCTCAACTCTGCCATTCCCGGCCACCCTCAGCCCTGAACCCTAAACCCTAAACCCTAAACCCTAAACCCTAAACCCTAAACCCTAAACCCTAAACCCTAAACCCTAAACCCTAAACCCTAAACCCTAAACCCTAAACCCTAAACCCTAAACCCTAAACCCTAAACCCTAACCCTAAACACTAATTAACCCGAACCCCCAAAACCCTAAATCCTAAACGGGGCCACCAAAACTTAAACCCTAAACCCGAAACCTCAAATCCTAAAACCTAAACCCTAAACTCAACCACCCCCCCCCCCCCCCCCCCCCCCCCCCGACCCCGTATCCTCTAGACCCCGATTTTCCACCTTCGGCGTTTGATGGGTCGACTACCACCTTGCCGCCTTGCAGTGTCTGCAAAGCGGTGGTCCCAAGGTGTAGGGTGTCAGGGTTCCAGTAAGGTTGCAGTAGGGTTTCAGTAGGGTTTCGGAAGGGTTTCAGTAGGGTTTCAGAAGGGCTTCAGCAAGGTTTCAGTAGGTTTTCCGTAGGGTTTCAGAAGGTGCCGGCAGAAGCTGGGTGCAGTTTTTCCTGCAGTTGACTCTCTGGAATCTGCCAGGGCTTTCAGGGTTTAGGACTCAAAGGGTTAGGAGCTTGCTAGTTCATGGTTGGCATAGCATTAAACATTTACACTATATGCCTGATTGGGTTTTAATACCCTAAAAAATGTAAAATGTTATCCAACTATGACAAAGCTTGGGGGCTGTCAAGAACGGAAGTCAGCTGGCAGCTGCCGTAAAGTCCCGAAGGGCACACATGCTTATGGTGGTCTAGGGTTTCGGGTTTAGGGCTTAGAGCTTAGGGCTTAAGGTTTAGGGTTTAGGGTTTGACGAAGCTGTTCTAGTGGCTCTGCCTAAGCCCGACACACCCGAACCCGAAGTTCGACCCCACTCCTTCCCGCCTGAAAGGCCCCAGTTTCGCAGCCCCTTGGCGACAATGCTGCAGATGCCCTGACACATGTAAAGTTTGGGACGATTAGGGTTTTGCGCGGTTTAGGGTTTAGGGCTGAGGGTCTCAAGGATCACTTGAGGTTCATGGGACGCGCTAGCTGTTTATGACTGGGGTTATATAGTCCTTTTTTCAACACACACACACACACAGAGGCCCCCAGGCACCCACGCACACGTGCACGCACACCCGCACGCGCGCACGCACGCGCGCGCGCACAGACACGCACAGACACGCACAGACACGCGCAGACACACACACACAGAGACACAGACACAGACACAGAGACACAGACACACAGACACACAGACACACAGACACACAGACACACAGACACACAGACACACAGACACACAGACACACAGACACACAGACACACAGACACACAGACACACAGACACACAGACACACAGACACACAGACACAGAGACACAGAGACACAGAGACACAGAGACACAGAGACACAGAGACACAGAGACACAGACACAGACACAGAGAGACACAGAGAGACACAGAGAGACACAGAGAGACACACAGGCACACACAGAGACACATACACAGACACACACACACACACAGAGACACACAGAGACACACAGACGCACACAGACAGACAGACAGACACACACACACACACACACAGAGGACCCATTCGGGACGATGAAGAGAACGGGCTGAGGCATTTCACGACACGCAACTTCGAAGTTGTGAACTTGACGACTGGCATGCCTCGCAGATTCCTTGTTCTTCGCTCCACGCTCACGAAACAACCCCGCAAACATCCGGGTCAAACTACGCCACGGTCAAAGTTCAGACACAAAAAACTACACGTATGTAGGAAATGCAAAACCTTCACTGACTACCATGCTTCACAACGGCTCAATCTCAAGACTTGATTTCCTGGCACTCCGCAATTGTTTTTGTTCGGGGCAGGTATCATCGTCATGGGCCGGGCAGGGCCCAATCTCGCTTGGCCAATGGAGAATTCTCTGCGGAAGTCTCATCACGTGGATCAGCTAGTCCTCGATGTAGCCGAGCGCACGTTGTTCAAGCACTTGCGAAGTCTCCGGACATGGCACATAGGCAGAAAGGCTTCATTAAAAGCTGCATAAGCAGTGTCCGAAAACATGAAGGACCCGGGATATGGCAACGAATGCGCAGCGCAGGGTTAAAAGTACAAGACAGACAGGGCACGGCGAAACAGGAGCGTCGGGGCCACGTGTTTGGGCGGAACCTGTTCTCAGCTGCGCAATGATAGCAGGGTCCGCCCAGTAGCGGAATACATACATACATACATACATACATACATACATACATACATACATACATACATACATACATACATACATACATACATACATACATACATACATACATATATACACATATACATACATACATACATACATACATACATACATACATACATACATACATACATACATACATACATACATACATACATACACACATACATACATACATCCTTTATGTATGTATATATGTTTGTATGTATGTATGTATGTATGTATGTACGTATGTTTGTATGTACATACGTACGTATGTATGTATGTATGTATGTATGTATGCATGAATGTATGAATATATGTATGTATATATGTATATATGTATGTATGTATGTATGTATGTATGTATGTATGTATGTATGTATGTATGTATGTATGTATGTATGTATGTATGTATGTATGTATGTATGTATGTTTCAGGCGACGCCTTAGGGCAGCAAAGCGACGCTAAACGACTTCCTGTTTGATTTAGAGCAAGCGATTCTAAGTGCTGGCTGCGTGGACACATCAACAGCAACCCAAACAATTTTGGGCCACAAAGCATCCGCACCAAAGGCATCACAGAACAATTCATTTGTCGCTCGGAAATGCTCGGAAGTTGGCAGGTGGCTCACGAAGGCGGTGGCCCACGAAGGTGCACAAACAGCCACGTCCAGGTCAACCAACCGCCCCATAATGATGGCCGAATAGAAGCCCAAAGGAATCTCGGCCAACGCGCAGTCCATAGATGAGCCAAAAACTCAGTCGCAGCCTTGGCGTACATGCATCCGGCCAAGGTCTTGATAGTGAACTCAACTGCCTCGAGTTCAGGCTTCAGGCCCTGCGCGTGCCTTCCCTATCTCATTGACCAACTCCCAGGCAATATTATCACAAAGCCACTGGAAAATCTCCTCCGTGCTTTCATCCGAGCCTGATTGACTTACAAAGGGCGCCAAGAAAACGAAAGGCTGTGGATTCTCGAGTTAACATGGGCCACAAAGTCCGCGATGGTCATATCCACAGAGCCTTCCTTCGTGTCCTGAGCTCCTGGCACGTCCCACAGAAGATTTCATGGGTTCTTATCATCTAAATCCATTGTTAAGATTGAAGTGGCTCCGCAGCTTGCGTGAAGCAAACGTGAGATGCGCGGCAAGCAAAACGTGGGGCTCTTCCCCGAGAATGAAGCATGAAATGGACTTTTTTGTAGGTACAAGACATGTTCCAGAACAGCAAGGAAGAGTCCAATTCTCAAACTAGCATTCCTGGGAACCCTTGCGTGGCAATCTTCGGAAAGGACACCCCTGAGAAAAAACTCTCAGGACTCCAAAACAGCGTTGCAAACCAACTACAACCATGAGGATCGTCACGCTTTGCGCGAGGCAACCGGATTCGACGTTCAGGGCCCGAACTGCACTTCGAAGGCAGAACGAATGAGGGAGGCAGCTAACGAGGGGTAGGGGATCAAAAAAAAATTGGGATCAAAAAATAATCTATTTCTAGGCGGATCAAAAAAAACCTATTTGTGATCAAAAAATAACTTACTGAAGGCTTCGAAGGCTTGTTGCAAGCGGAGCGGAGGCTGTAAACGCTCAGAAATGCCGCATTTCTGGCCGTTCGCAAGCTCGAAATACCGAAAAAACACAGCATTCATGTGGGAACTACTGAAAATAGCAGCATTTCTGAGTTTTCAGAGAGGCTGCAGATACTGTATATAGCAGCAGTTCTGCGCTTTCAGAGGCTGGACATACTGTACACTGCAGCATTTCTGAGTTTCCAGAGGCTGCAAATACTGTAAATAGCAGCATTTCTGTGTTTCCAGAGGTTGCAAATCAATGCTGGCATCTTGGCATCAGAAGTTTCAAAAAATGCGTATACTCTGAAGCAAGTCCAGAACGATTTGAAAAAGGGCGGGGGGGGGGGGGGGGGGGGGGGGGGGCCGCGCCCCCCCCCCATGCGCAAACAGAATTCTCGCATCATGGGTTTCGAAAGTATGCTGAAGCACCTGGCACGACTTAAAATAAAACGGGGGGTTAGGGTGCAGGCTCGCATCAGAGGCGTCGAAAGACGTACGGTGCCTGTTTTTAAATACCCGGACATCTAAACAGTCAAACAGGTATTTCACACTACCTCCGTGGAGCGCGGCGTCAGGCCGCCCAGCGTTTTAAACATCCGGAAATAGACCCTCCAGCAAGCCTTCCCGCGCCAAGCCCCCCTCCAGCCAACACCCCCCCCTCCAGCCAACACCTCCCACCAACCTTACAACCAATCACCCAAACTCCACCCTTAAACCGCCCTCTCTCCAGCCCCCACCCTAACCACCCCTCCAGCCAACCCCTCCAGCCAAACCCCACATCCTCCAGCCAACACCCCCTCCCCCCCGAGCCCCCCCCAAAACCTAGCCAAAACCGCCCCCATCCAGCCAAAGCCCCCCTCCAGCCAGCCAACCTCCACCCAGCACCCCCCAGCCGGTTTCACCAGCCAACCCCCTCCAGCCAACCGCCTCCAGCCAACACCCCCTCCCCCCCCAGCCCCCAGCCAACACCCCCCCCAAAACACCCTTCAGCCAAAGCCCCTTGTCCAGCCAACACCCCCCCTCCAGCCAGCCAACCTCCACCCAGCACCCCCAGCCAGCCAACCTCCACCCGGTTTGGCGTCGGGTTTGGCTGGAGGTTGTTGGCTGGAGCATGCTGGAGGGGGGTTGGCTGGGGAGAGGAAGGGTGAGGAAGGTGTTGGCTGGAGGGTGGGAGGTGGGGGGGGGGGGGTTGCTGGAAGGAGGTGGCTGGGGAGGGTGTGGAGGGGGGTTTGGTGGAAGGGTGGGTTGGCTGGAGGGGGGGTTGGCTGGAGGGGGGGGGGTGGGTTGGCTGGAGATGGGTTGGAGGGGGGTGGAGTTTGTTTTGGAGGGGTTGGGGCGGTGCTTGAGAGAGGGGCTGGAGGGGTGCTGGGTGGTTGACGGGCTTGGCTGGAGGGGGGGTTGGCTGGAGAGAGGGCGGTTTGAGGGTGTTGGCGGGACGGGCAAGGTTGGCTGGAGGGTGGGCGGTTGGCTGGAGGGGGGCTTGAATTGGGGTGAGGAGGCTTGGCTGAAGGGGGGGGTTTGTGGAGCCTGGAGGTGGAGGAAGGGTTGGGTTTGGCTGGAGGGGGGGCGGGAGGGGGGCTTGGCTGGAGGGGGCTAGTGCATAAACACGAAAACATGCGGATTTAAACTGGTCTTTTATGCTACCCCCCTGGCCGTTGCTGGTTGGCCGCCCTCCACGTATTTAAAAAACGTCACCGTATACTTTGAAGCAAGCTGGCACGACTTCAATGAAGCGGGGGGTTGTTGGGGTCGGCCCCGCCCCCCATTTGCAAACACAATGCTCGCATAATGGGTTTCGAAAAGATGCGTATGCTTTGAAGCAAGCTGGCACTACTTCTTCCTTGCTTCTTTTTTGCTATTTCTTTCATCGTTATTTCTTTCTTGCTTTCTTTCTTGATTTCTTGATTTATTCCTTCCTTCCTTCCTTCCTTCCTTCCTTCCTTTCTTCCTTGCTTCTTTGCTTCCTTGCTTCCTGGCTTCTTTGCTTCCTTGCTTCCTTGCTTCCTTGCTTCCTTGCTTGCTTCCTTCCTTCCTTCCTTCCTGCCTTCCTTCCTTCCTTCCTTTCGTCCTTCCGCCCTTCCTTCTTTCCCTCCCTCCCTCCTGTTCTCCCTCCCTCCCTCCGGTTCCCTCTCTCCAGCGGAAGAACCGAATAAACTATTTTTTAATCCTAAATAAATATCCTAAAAAAATTTTTGATCCGCATCCCGCATTGGGCATCGTGCCTGGGTGTGACCATCTTCAGGGTGTAGGGTTTAGGGTTTAGGGTTTAGGGTTTAGAGTTTAGGGTTTAGGGTTTAGATTTCGTTCAAACTGGTCGACCTCCTCTCGCGTCATCGACCTCCTCTCGCATCCTCTCCTCCCCTCACTGCGTCAGAGTCGGACAAAAGCAACCTCCAGACTCCAGATTCAAGCAATCCTTCCAGTACGTCTCTCTTCGATTGAGCCGGGTGCTCGAAGTTCTCGAAGGGTTTAGGGTTTAGGGTTCAGGGTTTAGGGTTTAGGGTTTAGGGTTTAGGGTTTAGGGTTTAGGGTTTAGGGTTTAGGGTTTAGGGTTTAGGGTGCGGCGGCCCTCACAAAGCCTGGTTGCCATCAACGCTGGAGACCCATTCCACTATTTGCGAAGACCTGGTAATGTGGACGTTATCATCGCGCGGGCATGGGAAAGGATGAGTTTAGTACACAGTAAACTCGAAAAATGAGTGAAGTCTAGGGTTTAGGGGTTAGGGTTTAGGGCTTTGGGGGTTTGGGGTTTAGGTTTCGGGTTTAGGGTTTAGGGTTTAGGACCTCCCTGCACCCCATTGCGCCCTTGAACAGACCCCTGAGCAGCCTATAGAAGCCCCCCCCCCCCACCCTCACACCTCCGCCGAGGACATCTGTCCGCCCAGGAGGGACTTCACGTCTTCGGCCGGGTAGCCTTCGACCATCTAGGGTTCGGGGTTCAAAGGTTTAAGGTTTAGGGTTTAGGGTTTAGGGTATAGGGTATAGGGTATAGGGTATAGGGTTTAGGGTTTAGGGTTTAGGGTTTAGCGTTTAGCGTTTAGGGTTTAGGGTTTCGGGTTTAATGTTTAGGTTTCAGAGGCTGGGGTTGGGGGTTCAGCGTTGAGGGCTCAAAGGATTAGGGTTTAGGGTTCAAAGGTTTGGGGTTTAGGGTTCAGAGGCCTAGGGTTGAAGATAAAGGGTTGAGGGCTTCAGTAGGTGAAGACCCAGTACCACTGAAGAGGCGGGTTTAGGGTTTAGGGTTTGCGGTTTAGGGTTTCGGGGGTTTAGGGTTTAGGGACTGCTGGTGGCCCTCTATGGACCTTCCCGTCT